ATGCATGTGACTTCTCTTCAGAATTGATATTTGGTTTTCAACAAATTTTGTTGCATATGAACACTTTAGGCATATTGATCACTTCAGAATTGATATTCCCAGCATAAAATATTTTTATAAATCCACTGACCATCCCACTCATCTATTCACTGTTGTGATCAATACTAATTTCTTCATCATTTTCAAAGCTGCAAGATCTACATTAAAAACACACACACTTACACACCTCAAGACTAAATTTCTATATCGATAGTGTAAGAAAACTACAAATTGTTAATTTGGATTGGGATTGTCCACCTTCAAGCCTGCGAGCCGTCGACTCCCTTATGGCCTTGCCCAATCTAGGAACTTCATGGTGCGGCGGTGGCGCATGCTAGGCCGCCAACATCCTTGCGCCCTGCCTTGCTGGTTTGCCAAGACTAGGATGCTAGCTAGTTGTTGCACTCCGTGCATAGTTAGGCTGTGTCTGGATTCAGGGGCTAAAGTTTAGTCGTGTCACATCGGACGTTTGATTGCTAACTAGGAGGACTAAACATGAGCTAATTATAAAACTAATTGCACAGGAGTAGACTAATTAGCGAGACGAATCTATTAAGCCTAATTAATCCATAATTAGCAAATGTTTACTATTAGACTTAATAGATTCGTCTCGCAAATTAGCCTCAATCTGTGTAATTAGTTTTGTAATTAGCCTATGTTTATTACTCCTAATTGGTATCCAAAGATTCGATGTGACAGGGCTAAACTTTTGCCAAAGGAAACAAACACAGCCTTATTGTGGTGCATCTAGGCGGTTAGAGAGAAAAATTTAGGAGAGGTTAGTGAATAGGAGAGATACGCGAGAGAGAACTGTGTCTAATCGGTGTCGAACTGCGGTGCTGCACGAGAGTGATAAGAGTCGCATGTGGCGGCATTGAACTGAATATGTAGGCTGTTGAGTTACTTGTGTTGGTTTGTTTGCTGCTAGTTACTGTTGTCCCTCGATCTCCTTGCACAGGTGAGCAACCTGCTCACCAACACTCACACACTCACGGCTAGAGGTAGAAGAAGAGCTCTTGGAGAACAGAGCACACACACAGCACAAACACTTGTTCTGAATGTGCAGCAACTGAACTGATTTGCTTTGTTGATATGCCTAGTATATATACAAGTCTAGTACCAACTATTCGGTACACTAGTACAAGGGTGAGATTACCCCCAACTACTCCTACATGGCTGAAGTAAGCCACTACTACCAGTGGCCTGTTGCCATACTCGTACAAACTAGTACATGAGATAGTGGCCTGTTGCCATACCTCTACAGGAACTAGGATGGACAGCAAGAGCTGACCAATGAACTAATCTCCTGCTGCAGCAAAAGATCAAAAGGAGCAGCAAATTATCTTACAGTTACTTGAGTTGGATATGATGCTAAGAAATGGTGAATTTGGCTCCAACTTGAGTTATACACACATATATATATACTATATACATAGGTTTCTCAAAATAGTTTGGTATTCCTGGGAATACCCATGCATATACGTAGCTCCGACCATGTACTAGCTGGTACAATTCTAATATAATTACCAAATTCATCGTGTTGGATCTGCTTTCAGTTTGTATCACTGCTTTGGTCTGTAGTTCTCATTACATTCTTGCATGTTATTTATCTAGTTCAAATTTCACTTATGGTAAATGTTTCAGTGAAAATGCAGTTTTTGCTCTATTGACCTGTAGAATTCAAATGTCTACTAAACTACTACTTTTAACATGCAGTTTCACTAATTGTTATCTGTATTTCTTTCGACATGCATTTTCTTTCGTTTTTCTTGGATCTAACTAAAGTTTTCCGCATTCATCATGCAGCATGAAGCAAACATGCATGTTATTGATTGAGAATGATTCATGGGGCTTCAAGATTGATGTTTCTTTACGATCTAGACTCCTGGAGATGAAGCAGAATGGTCACACACATGTATTACCCAAAATTATCCTTCTTGCAGCTGCAGAATCGGGCAAACTCAAAGCACAGTATGCAGTTGATTCTGTGATCACGAAGCCTCTGAAAGCAAGCGCACTTGCCGCTTGTCTATTCCAAACACTTGGTATCACACAGTCAAGCAACGAGAGACGCGACAACTCAGGTTCTCTTCATGGGTTGCTTCTTGGCAAGAACATATTGGTGGTTGATGACAACAAGGTAAATCTTAGAGTGGCTGCTGGCACATTAAAGAAATTTGGAGCAAAGGTGGAGTGCGTGGAGAGTGGAAAAGATGCTCTCGCCCTCCTACAAGTCCCATATAAGTTCCATCTTTGTCTCATGGACATTCAGATGCCCGAGATGGATGGGTGAGTTCTATACAAAGCACACTATGCTTGTTTTCTCCCTTGTCATCCTCTGTTTTAAACCAATATTCCTCTACTTGGGACACCAGGTTTGAGGCGACCCGGCAAATAAGGGCAATGGAAGCGAAGGCCAATGAGCAGGCAGTCGTCTGTGACGATTCAGAAAGAGACGGCGCGACAAGGGCAGCAAAATGGCACCTGCCTGTTCTTGCAATGACCGCTGATGTCATCCAGGCCACCCATGAAGAGTGCACGAAGTACGGGATGGATGGGTACGTCACAAAGCCCTTCGAGGAGAAGCAGCTCTTCCAGGCGTTGAAGAAATTCTTGGACCCCGGCATGTCCAGCTAACACCGAAGTGATGCGTTGGAAAGTGAGGCACCATTCTCCATTCTGTAATTCCCTAACCGTGGACGTAATCTGATCCCGAACAAAGACCGTCCATCGTGGGCTGCTCGTCGATCATGCTAGCAGGGTAACAGCAGGCAGCCAAGTGCTGCACGCAGCACGGGCCTTTGCTGGTCTGCCTATGCAGGCGTCGTGTAAATGTATTGTATTGGCAGGGATCCTGTTTATAGCACTAGTATGGCCTGTGCGACAATGTTGGAGCTGCCTGCGGCTGATGCACGTCGAGCATGATTTTGTTGTACAGCTTCCTGCATTTTTGTGCTCCTGTTCAGACCACTGAATGAGGCAGGCATGCTCGCTGGTGCAGTGCAGTACTGGAAGGAAACCTGACTGCCTGAGAGTAGTCTTTTTGCTGTTTAATTGCATTGGGATTTATGATGTATTATAATCAGCTAATGTGCGATATAAGCTGATGTAATTGGCTCAGTGCATTTCCATTGTTATGGATATGAGTTAGGATCATAGGCATTGGTAAGACTACACTATTGGGTGTATGCCCTTCCATTATCCCTGCAAGTTGTCTTGGATCCTATGCAATGCCGCCAGCAACACCTTGGATCCCTGCAAGTTGTCTTGGACAAGATGCCGCCAGCAACACCTTGGATCCTATGCAATGCCCGTCCTGCCCATGGAGAGCGATGAACCATGAACCATGACTTGAAGCACCTTTTTTCACGGAGATACTGATATTTCTTTGGTGGAGTATTTAGACAGCACGATAGTAATAACATCTTCAGGGGCTTTCTACGGTCTGTTGATCATTGCAAGTTAATCTTTCGAAATGAATTTGGCTTGGTTATGCATATATAGAGCACAAAAGTCGTAATTCCCACCATGGTTCCTTTTTCTAGCCATGATTCTATTGGTGGGTCTGTTCGCTTGTCTGAATTTTGGAGGAATCTGGATGATTTTGAGGGATGTTGGAAGAATTTGTGAGAGAAAAACACTGTTCGGAATAAAAAATAAGTAGATTTTTAAGGGTGAACGGACTCTGTACATGTACGCGCCTGGCTCTGGACGCGCGCGCTCCGCTTCGCCTCTGTGTACGTGCCTACCACGGCCTCTGCCTTCTGGACGTGTACGTGCCTGGCTCGGCCTCTACGCTACACGCCTAGACTCCGTGTTACGTGCCTGCCACGGTTGGTGCTGCGCGCCACATGCAACCTACGCGCAGCCAAAAAAAAAACGGAGTAGTGTTCCTGTATGGCTGCATACAGGTTTAATTAATTCGAAGGAACGAGGCGTTTCTTTAACTCACTCTACCAGAAATATTTTATACTCACCCCATTTCAAAATAAAAGTGTCGCTATATGCAAGTTAAACTTCCTCAAGTTTGTATCTCTAAATAAGTTTACTACGAAAATATATTCAAAAACCTATCTAATGATAATATTTATGTATTATAAATATTAATATTTTATATATATATTTGATCAAAGATAAAAGCGTTTGACTTCTTGAAAACGAGAATGACATTTATTTATTATACCAAATCTGCTCGGTACCAAATCTGGATACCTGCTCATGCGTCCGCGTCCGATACAAATCATGTCACACGACCACGTTCTATCCGGTTTCAATACAAAAGCCAGGTCCACGCATTCGCATCTGGTACGAAATGATCGGAGCTCACACGTTAAAAAATAACATGGCCTATTAGTGTAACGCATGGGCATATATCAAGTTATAGAAAAAAGAAACATGACAACGACTGAATATTGGTATGCAGACCGACAACGAAGTCGATCAAGTTTATATACCTAGCTCCCTCCAGGCTTTGCCAACAGTAGATGTTTCCGAGAAACAACTGTTTTGACCTGCACTTAGTTTATTGCGTTTTCTGTATGTGTGGTGAACGTCAACTAATCCCGAGTTCCTGACTCACCACACCTGACGTACGTAGCTTGCATGATCCCGACGATTGTGACTAGGAGGGTAAGCAGTGGCGCAGCGGCCAAGATGATCCTCTTGTTTCTGTAGTAGACGCGGTGGAAGCCACTCCTTGTGCTCTTTTTCCTCCGGAGCTGCACGATCTCCTCCAGCGTGCGGAGGTACAGCTCCTGGCGCGGCAGCGGGTCGAGGAGGCCCTCGAAGAACTCCACGGTTCTTCGGTTGCTCATGGTGCTGAAGAGCATTAGCGGAGCCAAGATGGCCCGGCGCTCAAGATGATCCTCTTGTTCTGTAGTAGACGATTTAGAAGCAAATGTGTGCTCTTTTTAACGGTGAGCTCACGATTCCTCAGCGTGCGGAGGTACATAAAATCACGCTCAGCGGGGGAGGCTGCCCTCGAAGAACTCCACGGTTCGCTGGTCGCTCATGGTGCTGAAGAGTATCCGCCTGGAGCGGAGCTCCTCCACGTCCCGCTCCGCGCGGACGAGGGAGCCGAGGATGGCGAGGTAGGAGCTCACGCCGCTGCGGTCGGACCGGTCCGTCACGCACTCCAGCGCTACCATGTTGATGAGCCAGCAGCGCGGCAGCCAGCTGAGCGCGAGCTTCGGGAGGACGAGCTGCCCGATTCGGAGCAACGACCGAGGCTCTTGAGCCACCCTCACGTCCTTGACACGGCACGTCCCGCTGCCGTGGAGGTGGATGCCGGCCTCCGCGAGCTCCACCGCCGACGTGAAGTGGGCGAAAGGCCGCGCGTAGTCGCAGTACCTGACGGCGCCGCCGCCGTTGCCCTCCGGCGCATCAGGACCTTTCAGGCCGAGGTGCCGCTGGTGGACGAGGTCGAGAAGGTGAACTGGGGAGGGGCTCAGATTTTGCCACGGCGTGTCGTCGGGCCGGTCCGGTCGGCGTCGGCGGCCTGGCGGCGCCGCCGCCCGTTGTCGTCGGTATAGACGTCGAAGTCGAAGTAGGCGAGGACCATGGAGACGAACTGGTCGACGACTGGGACAGGCCACATATCAAAGAGCCTGCGCATCACGGCCCAGGGGATCTGGTTCTCAAACAGCAGGATGTCCTTCATGATCCGCAACATCCGGCCGTGTGTCAAAGACGAGTGCTCCAGCCGTTCAGGGTAGTTTCTGGTGAGGATGGACATCACCGCGAGCAAGAAGCAGCCGTCCACGACCATCATGTAGGCCAAGTCACTGCTCTCGATGGTTTCCACCGTGTCGTCGTAGCAGCTCCTTGCAAGAGGCAGGACGGGCCTGATAACCTCAAGGATCTGCGACACGGCCATCTCGTCGCGCAGCGCGCTACGGCACAACTGGTGCGCCACGGCCTCCTTGACCTGCTCCATCTCCACCAGGTGCGGCCTTGCGCGGTGGTGGTAAGGGCCGATGGAGACCACCTCCGGCACGAAGTAACGCTCCTCGAGGCTGTCCCGGACGCTCTGCGGCACTCTGGATGATGAGCAGCCTGTGTGCCACCCTACTACGGAACGACTTGTCGCTGCTGGAGAGGCGGCAAGCCAGAGCCAGACCCATCTGGTGACGAGGGAGCAGGCTTGAGCTGGACGACCCGCGGGGCTCGTGGATCATCGCCATGGCTTCTTCTCCGACTTGTGCAACTGATGCTCCAGCTGCTGCTGGTCGTGGTCGTGGTGGCGGCGTGGTGCTCCAACTCATGCTCCGTCTCTCGCTGACTCAACGGCATGGACGGAGATATATACAAGAAACAAGGATCAAGGCCTGCTAATCGACCGACTACTGTACCCACCCCAACACAACACCCCGATATGCCGCCGGGTAAACCCGCGACAGCAGCCGTTTAGCACCATCCTCATCCATAACAGCATCGGGTTTCGGCGACCACAGCGTATAAAATACAGCATCGGGTTTCGGCGACCACAGCGTATAAAATAAATGTAGGTAAAAAAAATAATTAATTACACAGTTTAGTTGGAAACTGCTACTGGTTAGTCCACGATTTTTCTGAATAAGGCGAAAGAAGCACTTTTTTTTTTTCAGCGATAACGCGTTCCTCACTACAGTAGTGTTTTTCTGAGACGGGCAGAAGCATTTTTCAGCGATAACGCGCTCACTCGATTTCCGAGGCGTCAGATAAGCTCGCGCCTGCGCGTGATGAAAGAGTCCAGCGCCGTGCCAAGGTCCCACGCGCGTCTTCGGTGTTGGGTCCAGCTGGCTCACATGCAGGCTCAGCAGTACACTACAGCACAACATTCACCATCGAACCATATTTTACTACTTTTACTTGGATAAATTTTATGTTTAATTGATGTAATTAATTATTCGTAAATAAGAATGATCCAGAATTACTCGAACAGTTATCTGATTTTTTATCTATTTTATTTTCTGTATGTTTTTTTATTTTCCCTTTGAAACTTTCCAATTTAGCTTTCATAGAAATAATCTAGGTAATTTTTTTGTTTAATATTTTATATTATTTAGATAATTTTGTTGGTTCATTTAATTTCGAGAAATCTGTACGACGCTTGAGTGTTTTTGGCGCTTGGCGCACTCGATTTTCAGACCGTCGGATGCGTCCCTGTGAACAGCAGCAAGGGGCCGCTTGTGAACTCTGTAGTGGCATGCAGCTGCCTCTCCTGTCCTCCGGCCGGCCGACCACGAGCCTGCCACAAGGCATGCAGAGCTAGTACAATACATATTCTATTTAGTTGCAGATTACATCTCATCCGACTATATTTTACTATTCTTGTTTAGGGTAGGTTTTATGTTTTATATCGGTGTAAATTGATTGTTCGTAATTTTTTGTTATTTTTCTGTATGTTTTATTTGGTTTTCCTTTGCAATATTCCAATTTGGTTTTCACAGAAATAATCTGGTATGCTATATGAATTTTTTCCTGATTTTTTTGTGTGTATTTGTATGTCATTTTTTTGTCTTTATTTGGATTTCTTCCAATTTGCACTTATAGCACTTGCCGCTGGTGGACTCTGCCGCAAGGGATCCTGTTTATAGCACTAGTATGGCCTGTGCGACATTTGTTGGAGCTGCCTGCGGCTGATGCACGTCGAGAATAATTTTGTTGTACAGCTTCCCCCATTTTTGTGCTCCTTCGGTTAGGCGTTCCCGGCCTAGAACGGCCAGGATCATTTCCAGATCAGTGCATAGTATCGAATAGTTTCAGGCCGTTCCGGGCTTGAAACGAACGGGCCCTGAAGGAGGCAGGCATGCTCGCTGGTGCAGTGCAGGACTGGAAGGAAAACCTGACTGCCTGAGAGTAGTTTTTTTGAGTTGACATTGCATTGGGATTTATAATGTATTATAATTTATAATGTATTATAATCAGCTAATGTGCGATATAAGCTGATGTAATTGGCTCAATGCATTTCCATTGTTATGGATATGAGTTAGGATGGCATTGGTAAGACTACACTATTGGGTGTAAGCCCTTCCATTATCCCTGCAAAATGTCAAAAATGTGCGAAGGGAATATCCCTGCAAGTTGTCTTGGGCCTAGTTTAGATCCGAAAATTTGGCAAAAGTAAGAGCGTTTACACGTTATTGGGTGTAAGCCCTTCCATTATCCTGCTCCTCGTGGAAAATGTAATTAGTTTTTTTTTTATTTAAAATGTGCGCGCCCCAAAAGATTCAATGGAAGAATCTGAAAAATTTGACGTTTTGGAGGGAAACTAAACAACCCTTTGGACAAGATGCCGCCAGCAACACCTTGGATCCTATGCAATGCCCGTCCTGCCCATGGAGAGTGATGACTGATGAAACATGAACCATGACTTCAAGTACATTTTTTCATGAGAGATACTGATATTTCTTTGTTGGAGTATTTAGACAGCACGGTAATAATAAAATCTTCAGGGGCTTACTACGGTCTGTTGATCATTGCAAATTAATCTTCTGAAAAGAATTTGCCCTGGTTATCCATATAGAGCACAAAAGTCTTACTTTTTTGTTTTGTTTTGAGGGGAAGCACAAAAGTCTTACTGCCCACAAATAGAATCACGGCTAGAAAAAGAACCACGAGTCCATGACGAACGAAAAAGGATCATGGGCCAGCTTACAGGCCCATTGCAAAGCCTACAATAGGCTAATCACGGTTGAGAGCCTCTTAGATAACCAGGCCCATCCAGCTTCAGATAATTATAAATGGAAACAGCCAAAAATTTCTGGCGGTGGGCGCACGTCCACGGCACCGAATCGACAAGCTACAATGTGCCTGGCTCTCTCGCGCGCGCGAGCGCGCGCCGTGTCTGCACGTCGACCTCAGCGGATCGGCCTACCTGATCAGACCAGACCGCCAGATCAACTTCGGCGCTTCGCTTCTCCACCCTCTGCCCGTGCGGTGCCGTGCCCGAGAGGCGAGAGCACTGAACGAGCCCACGTCTCCCCCCGCGATCTCCACACGCGCACGGGACAAACGCACGCAGATGTCCGGCCCGGGGCAGAGCACGAAGCAAAATGCAGTTGCAGGTAACGAAACGGGAAGGAAGATCTTTTCTTTCCGCTGGTGATCTCGTCGGTTTCTGGCGCAGAGACGCAGGGGCGCGCTGCAGCCCGCACTCGCTTTGTGGCGACGGTGAGTTGAGTTCGGGATGGATCGTGAGGCCGTGGAGCTGCCGGGTCACGCGGCGGGCGGCGCCTCACGAGAGGAGAGGAAAGACGTCCTTGTCCACGGGGAGAGTCGGAGACCCCTCTGGAGGCTACGTGGCCCCGTGGATGCGTCTCTGCCGATGTGTTTGGAGCCGGAAAAAGAACTGTATGCCGTGCGCCGGCGTCCAGATTCAGAGTGACCTGGCCATCAACGTCAAGAACACCCTAATAAACATGTCCTCACACAAACAAAATATATGTATCATATAATATATCTGAAAAAAAAGGAAATCATATAGTACTAACTAATCGGACCAGTACGTGGCATCCACTACACTCATCGTCACAAATATTGATGATCTCTTGGCTGTTGAGCCTCTGCACTCTGCTAATCCGTGTTTTATTGCTTCACGAAAGAAAAAACGAAAACAACAACAAGAACAGTGTGATCATGTATGATTTTGTGAATGAAATCTATCAGCTTTGTCAGGAAGATGCTAATCAGTAATCACACATCAGTTTAAGGCATTTATTTGGATGCGCATGTATTTATCTTAATCAACATATACGTTGAAGTAGATTAAAGTAGACATAAGGATTGAGATACATACACATATATTCAAACAAGACCTAAGTGGATACACATGCATCAACACAAGATGGAACATGGTCGTTAGGGACGAGGTTGAGTACTTTCGCCTTTTAGCATCGAGTGTGCCTCAAGAATGGAATTGTTCGGCTGCAAAGGGCCGTGGCCACGAGCCAGACGTCAGGCAAATGCTGCCAACATAAGAAATTACTCCATAAAGCTAGAATAACTTTTTTTTTTCTGGACAGAAGGAGTACTAGTAACCGAGTGTTCATATCGCTCTCAGAAAAATAAAAGTAGAGCACCTTCTAGTTACTTCTAGAACACTGTGAGGTTCTGTCTTCCAGAACACTTTCCATGGATTATTTTTAGACGTGTCTGTATGCTCTATATTTTCACTCCTAGCTTATATATAGAGAACCAAACGAGCTAACCCACAAACCTATATATAGTTTAAATTTTATAGTTTACTCTTTTCATGTTCCTAAATAAAGTTGTTTTGAGGTTGTCTTAAGTCAAATATTTTAAACTTGACTACAAATAAATTCTTTGGATATAGTTTGAAAATATGAAAGTGATGTAAATACGTAGATTCATCTCGAAATATAGTTTTATAAAAATATAAATTGAATATATTTTATAAATATTTTATAGCATAAAAGTAGTGATCAAAGTTATTTTTTTTAGACCGTGTTTATGTCAAAACGATTTTTTTTAGGGACATGGAGGGAACGCTTGTATCTTTACTCATATATGGTTCAGTAGTGAGCTAAGCATAACTTGGTTGAATTTCTTATGAGTTCAAGTGCATTTTGTGCTCATAGTGGCAAGGTGGTGTTAAGGTGAATGTGTGCCCTGTTTATGTTTCTAAAGAAATACTACTCTCGAGAAAAAAAGGTCGTCAAATCTTTTCTTTTAAAAATAATCGTTTTATTTTTTGAGATATATACAGCCTTTTATTTTACTGCAGTGCATGAGAACCATAGGCGCGCATCGTGACACTTGCGCCGTCGCCTGTAACTTTCCAGCCTGCGTGTACGCTTCCTGCTCATTTATAGTATCTCTTTCATTCACACATCAAAAAAATTGGACCCGGAAAAAGAAAAGAAAATCAACTCGCCACCTGTTCTAACACGCGAGGAGAAAGAACACGGCGGCCGCTGTTTCTGTTTCGTTTCCGTCCGCGTGCTCTGACCCGCAGCGAGCCCACGGCGTCGCCCTATATAATTGGGGCCTCAAAACCTCTCCTCTCATCAGCAACGAACTCCAGTCTCCAACCAACCACCGCAGACAAAAGATCCCCAATTCCGTGTCCTCGAACCCCTTTCGAGTTCGCACGGGCTCCCGGCTAGATTCGTGCGGTCTAAGCTTCGAATCGGCGCATGGAGGCAGCAGTAGCCGCGGCGCTCAGGTCGCCCACCGCCGCCGGCCCCTCGCGGCGGTCCGCGGCCCCGGGCGCCAGTTCGCTGCCCTTTGACCGGAGGCGCAGCTTCGCCTTTGGCTCCATCAAGGTAGGAGGAGCTTCCGGTTCTCTCTTACGGCTGAAGCTTAGACGGGTGTTTGTTCTTTTAGACGGAAAGGAGAAAGGGCAGTTTGGATCTTATCATCTTCAGTTTTTTTTGCGGCATGCTTATCTATTTTCTAATTTTTGTGTCCTTGCTTGTGGAGGAATGGTTTGGCGTGATTATGCTGCAATTTGTTCATCTTGTGTTTTCATAAGATTCGGTTTCTCAGTATAATTCGTCTGAGCATGGAAATGGAGTGGTTGCCTGACGCTGCTGGATGCTATGCGCAGGGTCTCGGGCGGCAGCAGCTCACCTCTAGGACTAGGAGGCGAAGCAGTGTGGTCAGGGCCTCCTGGTCCCCCTCGGAGTCTCTGCCACCGTCCTCATCGATCGCGCCGCTCAGGATGGAATCGCCGGCGGGGCAGCTACTCTCGCAAATCCTGCACACGCACCCGCACCTACTGTCTGCCGCCGCCGAGCAGCAGCTCGAGCAGCTCCAGACCGACCGCGAGGCCGAGAAGGAGAAGGATAAGGAGAGCGAGGCTGGCGACAAGCTGGCTCCGACAGGTGGCGACCTCGTGCTGTACAGGTAATTGTGGTTTTTAGTCAATGAGTTCGTTGCCTTTGTTACTTACGGGTGCATCTTGCTATAAGAAGATAGGATTTGGTAAAGATGCTTGTTCTGAGTTATCCAATTGTGGATCCGGAGTATAACAGACTGTCACGTAGGAATTGTATAACTGTCTAGTCAGCTGAAATGTACATGCTGCATCCAGCTCAGATTAACTCGGTGTATTTTATGGATGCCTGTTTACATCCTTAAATATTATGTGGGATTAGAATAAATCTAGAGAGATGGCCATATCATATAGGAACTCTGTCAATTGTGCGATGCCAAGAGAGGAAAAGGACAAACTATTCTAGCCTTTTTGATTGAGATGGAGTGACTGTAGTTCACATATGAGCAATTGCTAGTTATTAGAATTGTTTGGTGATCCATACTGTAGCTTCCTATGAAATGGGAATATTCAAAGTTCATGTGAAAGTTCAGTCTTGTTTATTACTTCTAACAATGAACTAATTGTTTCCTGTGACTTGGAGTATTGCAGAAATGTTGGCTAATTTCCCTTGTTTTCTGGAAATAGGCGTATTGCTGAGGTAAAGGAGAAGGAACGGAGAAGGACTTTGGAGGAGATACTCTATGCTCTGGTTGTTCAGAAGTTTGTTGAAGCTGGTGTTTCTTTGGTTCCAGCACTCTCTCACTCCATCGATTCTTCTGGAAAAGTTGATCAGTGGACAGGAACTGTGGAAGAGAAGCTTCAACGTTTACACTCGTCCGAGGCCTATGAAATGATCGAGAATCATCTCGCTCTCATTCTGGGGCAGCGTCAAGGTGATGCCACTATTGCAGCCATAAGTAAGCTCCGAGTTGGCCAGGTCTATGCTGCATCTGTGATGTATGGTTATTTCCTGAAGAGAGTTGATCAGAGGTTTCAGCTCGAGAAAACAATGAAGAGCCTCCCTTGGGGATCGGAAGAGGAAGATAGTGCTTTGAATCAAGTTATGACGGCCGACTCAATGCCTTCAGCTCAGGCTTCTAGCCCTCATCCAGAGATGGGCTCGTGGACTGCTCCTGACTTCAACGCAGGAGGGCCTAGCCAATCTATCAAGCCTTCCCGCCTTAGGTCGTATGTCATGTCATTTGATTCAGATACACTTCAGAGGTATGCAACAGTCAGGTCAAAGGAGGCCTTTGGCATCATTGAGAAGCACACAGAAGCGCTATTTGGGAAACCAGAGATTGTAATCACACCTGAAGGCACAGTTGATTCTTCCAAGGATGAGCATATTAGAATAAGCTTTGCCGGGCTGAGAAGGCTGATCCTGGAGGCTGTTACTTTCGGATCGTTCCTCTGGGACGTTGAGAGCTTTGTGGATTCCAGGTACCATTTCGTGACCAACTAAGATGGTCATCCTAAGTGAAGAACGATTCATGGTTTACGGATCTGGTCTGAAACTGAATGTCTATGGGCTTCGGAAAGACTGTTGTACAATGATGTTAGACTGTGTTACCACACCCCTTACTGTATACGATGGTACCAATGATTTGCCCACTTTTATGGCATCACAGTATTGTAAAGACCAAACGTCATTAGCCTGATATTTAGCCGTTAGGTTCTAGTGACACATGCCCGGGGGTGCGTAGTGTTGTATTTTACGATTATCCCCTCTGCAAATTGTAAGAGCAATTCTAGGCTCCTAGCCAATTCTTTAGCGAAGCTATTATTCTCATTGCAGATTGCCGTTATGATGATTTGAGTTCGTTCGTCTTTTTGGGAGCACGTCCATTTTGTACTACAGAATTCTTGTATGTATTTGATACGTGAATAGGGATGAAGTTTCGTTTTTTTTAAAATGTATTTATTATTATCCTTTTTTTGTGTGTTGATCCAAAACTCACTGCTTTGAACTACTGCACCGAATTACTAGTTCATTTTGTTTGCCAGGAATTACTCCCTCCGTGCACAAGAATGTAATTTTTGTTTTTCGAGAAGTCAAATAGTTTAAACTTTGACTAAATTTATATAAAATAAAAAAATACTAGCATTCATGATACAAAATAATTATCATTAGATTAGTTATAGAATATATTTTCATCATACATTTATTTGGAGACATAATGAACAAGTATGGTGGTAACCGAGCTAAACGTTGAATGATTCTAATTTGACTGACATGCCACAAGCCCACAAGCAAACATGAACTGTACAGTAATTGGACTCAAGAGTGCTGTGACATCTGAGCATGTACAACTGACTTTACATGTTCGAGCAGCAAGAGGAATACGTGAGGTGAGAGACAAAAATATGCAGTTACAGCATCTTATTATTGTCACCACGCATGGCTGCTAACCAGCTGCTGCTGCTGCTTCCAACGAGGTAAATCATGGAGAGCAAATTTACCAAATCCTATCTTCTTGATAAAATTCTTGACCATGAGCCTCCCTTCAGTAGTTATGATGCTCTCCGGATGGAACTGCACGCCCTACATAATAAGAACGTTCATGGATGTAGATTCAAAATGGACAACAGTAACACTTAATAAAAGATTGATTGTTTTTGTTTTCTAATTAAGGTAGAAAAGAAAGAAACAGTTCGATTTGATTTGGAAAAAGCCTTCAGTTTACCACAGTACACAGCAGCGATGGTGTAACCAAATACACCGGCAGAATGCTGATAGATGGAGGCACTAGTGAAAGCACGAACAGAAAGTCTACTAGTTTTGCCCTGGTTGCCAGATAGGCAAATTCAAGCAGCCTATGCAAACCTACCCAAGTACAAGTCAACAGACAAATTCAAGCAGCCTATGCAAACCTTACCCTAGTATACAAGTCAGAATTCAATCAAAATCTAATCTGCTTCCCTAGGTTATTTAGTTATGTATTGTGCTGGTGAATGATCCAGAGGTGAGCTTGGAAGAACACTACTTGCGTTGATGAACAGGTAAATGCCATCATGGGTTAAAGTTAAAAATCGCAAAGCAGTATGATGACATGCTTCAAAAGGGTTATGAACTTCCAGTTATGCACCATTTTTAGTCTTTCTGTGAAAGTAAAAAAAAAAAAAATCACAAGGCAATAGAAAAGGCATTTTATTTTTAGAAGGCAAGCAACTTATAAACACAGTAGCAAATTTCCAGATTACATGATATGATTTGAAATGATGTTTCACATTATGTCGTTATAAATAAAAAAGACGTGAGCAAACCTGAATATGTTTGTATATCCTGTGGCGAGCAGCCATGATCAACCCATCATCTGTCCATGCAACAATTTCCAGGGTATCATGCGGGAAACTATCCTTCTCAATTACAAGTCTGTGATACCTTCCGGTCTGGAATGGGCTACAGGACAAAGTTATCAGATTTTTTTTTTTTGAATGTAAGGGCAGGAGCTCTGCCATTCATTAAGTAGAAGATAGGAGTTTTATGTACAGAGTGGCACTGAGGCCTAACACAGCCGGCAACACTAGGAAAGCAGCCAGAGTAAAACTATACACAGAGGGGGGTCTCCAACCGGACACAAGACGCTAATGGTTAGCTGTTGTGAAAGCCCTTCTATATTGCCCCAGGTCTTCCTTGGCTCGGCTGGCCACCTGAAGTGCTGTGGAGTATTTGTTGTCGAAGATTCGGCGATTATGCTCGTTCCACAGATTCCACATGATATAAATAGCCATTCCATTGAATTCACGCCTCCTTTCTTTTGGGATTGAGGGCAAGGTCGATTCCCACCATTGAATTAAGGTGTCCGTATTGTTTTGTATGGCCGGCTGGAGGTTGCTGAAATTCTCCCAAGTTGCAACTCTAGACCATGTCTCCTGTGCGAAAGGGCACATCAGGCAAAGGTGGATTCCTGACTCGAGCGGGACATTGCAAAGAATGCAGTTATCTTGGTGAGGCACTGAGGCCATCCCTAAGGGCGAGATTATCTGTTGTTAGTAGTTTATTTTGGATTAGGATCCAAGCGAAGAGTTTGCACTTGTTTTCCGCCCGTGCTTGCCATATGATCTCAGTCTTGTACCTTCTGTAGGAGCCGTAGAATTGGGCGCAGTATGCCGATTTGGTGCTGTATTGCCCGCTGTTGGTCCACTCCCATTTAATTTGGTCTTCTAAATCCGGCTGCAGCTGTACATGCTGAATGTGTACCCAGAGTGAGACGAACTCCTCCAATTGAGATGATGTAGTGATTTTCCTCCCCAAAGTTTGTATCCAAGCGTCGCGGCTTAGTTCTTGGTACACCGTTTTGTTTTTCATTCTTACCAACTCGAAGAGGTGGGGGGCTAGGTTTCTGGGTGCCTCACCATCCAACCAACTATGGTGCCAAAATTTGGTCTTCTTGCCATTGCCGATGGAAATGGTAGTGGAGGCGTTGAAGAGTAGGCGGTCCATATCGTTACATGGGACATCAGTGCCCATCCAAGGTTTGTCAGGTGTCGCCCACTCCTGCCAAAGCCACCGCAGCCGGAGTGCTCTACTGAACTTGACAAGATCAATCACCCCGAGTCCCCCAAGGTCTTTGGGCTGACTGAGAGTCGGCCAGTTGACTAAGCAGTGTCCACCATTTGCCTTGTCGTCCCCTTTCCAGAGGAAGGATCGCTGAATCTTATCTATTTGTTTTCTTGCCCAGGCTGCAATGGGGAAGATGGTCAGATGATAAGTCGGGATGGAAGATAACACCGAGGTGACTAAGGTGAGCCTTCCTGCGCGGTTTAGAAGTCGCCCTTTCCATCCTGGTAGGCGCTGCCCAATTTTCTCAATGAGTGGTTGGACATGTGCCTTTTGCAGTGCTCGTGTGTGGAGCTGTAGCCCAAGGTAGCGGCAAGGGAAGTCTTTGCAGGTGCCTGGGAAAGGTTCAAGGATATTTTGAAGATCTAAACCATCACATCGGATAGGGTGGATGGAGCTCTTGTCGAAATTGGTAACTAGATCTGTAGCCTGACCAAAGGTTTCCAGTATTCTTTTTACTGCCAGTAAGTCCTCCCGGTTCGGTATGGTTTCCTTTGGTGCAAATCCAATCATCTAGATTGGAAGAAGCAATTCCCCCATTGGTAACAAATGGTTATCCATTTGCAATGAAGATTGCTGCATCATCTGCATAGAGTGAAGTCCTAAGTTTCATCGATGCCAGTGGCAGGGGCGTGAGGACTCCATTAGCAGAAGCCTAGTATACGCTGTAGGGGGTCGATGGCTAAAATGAAAAGCATGGGTGAGAGGGGGTCTCCTTGTCGCACCCCTCGCTTGTGGCTGAAACTATCCCCGAGCTGACCATTTACCATGGCTCTTGAGGAGGCCGTGCCGAAGAGCATGGAAATCCACTCCCTCCATTGTTGCCCAAAACCCAACGCATGGAGGACCTCAAGAAGGTAGCTCCAATTGATAGTGTCGAAGGCCTTTTGGATGTCCAGTTTCATGAAGAGCGCCGGAATTTTCAGTTTTTGCAGTCTCTTCACCGTGTTTTGCACGTAGAGAAAATTGTCCTGGATACATCTCCGCTTGATAAATGCACTTTGGCAGTTGGAAACGAGGTCATCCAGGAAGGGTGCCAATCTATTTGCAAGCAGTTTGGAAAAAATCTTTGCGATGCTATGGATCAAGCTGATGGGCCTGTAGTCACTTACTTTAGTGGCGTCTGGCTTTTTTGGGATGAGGACAATGTTGGCTAAGTTAAGTAGATCAAGGTGCTGACTGTTCATGTTGTATAATTGATTTAAGGCACTTGTGAGATCAGAACGAATGATATCCCAACACTTCTTGAAGAAAGTTCCTGTGAATCCATCTGGCCCTGGGGCTTTGTCTCCGGGCATCGAGTCTATGGTATTTTTGATCTCTTCCTGTGTAGGGGCTTCAAGGGCCGACAGATCATGCTGCTGGTAGCCCAAAGAAGTCCAGTTGAAGGCAGACAGCCTGCTCACAGCCGATCCGAGGTGTTGCCTGAAGTGCTCAGTGACCTCTTTTTCCTTGTCCTTTTGAGCGAAGAGAATTTCATTGCCTCTTTGAAGGCACTGGATGTAGTTTTTTTCTGGATCTTGCATTTGCCCTTAACTGGAAAAATTTAGTATTTGCATCTCCTAAGCGAAGGTTTGTTATCCGGGAACATTGGCGCATTCTTGATTTTATCAGAATTTTGCATAAAAATGAACTTTCAACACTAAATACCTACTACGGGAAAGTAGTGTCTCGAAATGAGCCTATTGTAACTGAAGTGATATTCTTCAGCCCAGGTTAAATAGCAGTATGAGTTTGTCCATGCATTCACATGGAGTGTGGTGACCAAAACTCTTTGTTGAAAATGTTGTCATCCTGTTGCAATTTTTGTATGTAACTGATGCTAAAATATTGAGATTCGAAATTCAAAAACTACCCTTGACAGTCGCATCAAACAATGGCAATTATAACAAGAAAACTCTCCATTTCAGAGGAGCTAGTAAAAGCGTCTCTCCTGTAATGTCTATGTTAAGAGAAAACATTTTATTCATATTTTTTATATTTTCAGTAACCTAAATGGATTCTCCAAATACAGAACAAGACAAGCTACCTTCCTTACCTATCTATAACTTCTAGGTTGCACATCAATAAAAGCTAACTAAGCAAACAAAGATGGTTCAACTATGTTTCCTTTCTTGCAAACCTAATAATGGAACAATAAGAAGCAAGTCTGCCTCTGTCATGACAACAAAAAGGAAGCTTCAGGATGACACATCCAATAACACAACTCTCGGTGAAGACCTCATTCTCATTTAGTGAACCCAAGTTCTAGATTGCCAACATATTTTTTGTTGGATTGCGAAGCTTATTGTACCATAGTGAAGTATATTTTTTAATTAAAAAAATACAGTCTTATTTGCACTAAACAACACTTTTATGCTCCTAAATCATGTATCGTCACTTTATATTGTAATCTGGTCTTCTTTTGAACAAGTATTGTAAGTTGGTCTAGATTGTATTAACTTTTAACTTTTCTAGGGAAATAAATGGGAGGGCCAGACACAAGAAAGAAGATAACTGAGTATCAGGCCCCACATATGGTAAGTTGTATGACAATTAAACCCGATGGATGGGAAGCTTAAGGGATCTTACTTTGGAAGATCGGAAAACAGAGTTCCATCAAGCTTCTCATCGTAATGAACAAAGGAGCCCTTTCCATGCACAACTCCATAAGGAGATCGGACAACCTTCCCTACAAACATGAAACAGGAAAATAAGACAGGTTTGAAGTCTAAAGATACACCTCAAGTGAAGAACTTGTGCACATACAAACCTCCAAATGCCTCCCCAATGCATTGTAAACCCATGCAAAACCCCAAACAATGGTATAGAGGGTCCAAGCTCTGTAACTGTTTGCAAGGATATTCCAGAATCTTGAGGAGTGCCTGTCATTTCAATTTTGTTAAAAAGAGAAAACAAAATAATTTATAGGCACACCAAAAATAAAACAGTAGATTTTAAGAGTACATTCATTAGCATCTCATATGTTAGTATTAACGAATGGAATTAGTACAGAAAAATGCTGACCAGGGCCTGGGGAAATAAGTATTCCTCTAGGAGAGATCCTGTAGAGCAAGCAACACACTGCATGTGATATTATCAAGAGAATTCATCATGTAAACTTGCGGAACCTTATACAGGAAAGAACAGTTACCTACTTCTTAATTTCTTCCACAGTGATATCATCATTGCGATAAACCTCAAAATTAGCTCCAACCTCTCCCATGTACTGCATATAGACAAATTTTAGGAAACTTCAGTAATCAGTACAATCGACAAGAGAGTTTCTATTTGTGAGAAGTTCTTTCTTTCTTTCTTTCTTTCTTTATTTCAAGAATGTATTTTTGTCCATATTTTCTATTGGGCATCCATTTTGGTCCTCTTATAGCCACATATTTATAGTATTCGAAGTTACATTATTAGTCCTTAGTTCCTAATCCCTGAGGTTTCTAAGAAAAGTCATAACTATGTTTTGATTGCTTATGCAGGTTCATTCACCAGAGACTTTAACTGGGCAATGTCAAAGTTTTTCCAATTAGATATCCAAAGATAGTATGTATTGAAAAGAGTGTGGAAACTGGAAAGACTCAAGCTCCTTCACACTAATCATGCCATCACATCACCAATCTAAATTACTTTTGAAGTTACCATAATGCATGGAAAAGTTTCTTAATTAGTAATGCAACAGTACTGCTTTTACCTGGCATAAATTATATGTGAAGCTATCGTAGTTGTCTATGACTATGATTGGTCTAGTATTTTGCTTTACTCCAACAAATGCATCACCACCTTCCACTGCTGAGATAGCAGATTTAGCAACAAACTTTTGCTGTTTAACGGTTGTGCATCCACTGAGTGCTCCTGCACGATCAGTTAAAATATCTATTATAATTAAACAAACAGGACAAATTAAATTAATTCTGTGAATTCTGTTTTTTTCTTGTTGTCTCAATGGCAATCGTTAGGATACTAATTTCAAGCGATGCTAAGCTATCACAGCTTGCTAAAAGAATTTACACAGATTTCTTTGACCACTCCATTAATTGATCAGCGAACAAGAGCCTTAGTTCGTTTCACAGAACAGGAAAAGCTTAAAGCAGAATCTCGTTTCAGCACTCCCAAAGTCTAAGACCCAAGTTGCCATTGCCGAGATTATATAAAAGAAAGAAACAAGGAGGTCACTGATGGAGTGATGGGGGCAGGTAAGACAGAAAGAGACAGCCAACTAACTTGACTAAGTACACGGAGCTTCGGACTTCGCCGGCGGCCGGCGGCCGGCGGCCGGCGCCCACAACGAAGGCTATTCGTTTCTCCTAGATCGATCTCGGATTCGTCCCGATCGAGGGAGCACAATCAAGATACCCGACGGCGCGGAACAACAAAGCAATAAATGCAACGTACCGCCAACTCGCTTACCTACGCGGAGGCTGGAGAGGCGGCGCGGCTCGGCCCGCGGCGTCGTGGCGGGGTGGATCTTGGCTACGAGGCGTGCGGCGTAGGCCATTGGATTGGAGAGAGGAGCCGAGGAGACAGGGTGGCGTCGGGGTCGGCCGGAGTGGAAGACGGGATGCAGGAATCAACACTGTCCTGTTCGGGGTCCGATCAAGTTTCTCGGGTTTGGTGGGAATGGGACAGCTAGGACCGTCAGCGTTTCATTCTTCTCTCTTACGTTTCCATCAATTCTTACCATTTTTTTTATTGAGCCAGTCCTATATGGAGCATTTACGAAAAAGGAAAGATTAAACAGGCTAACAACTGGGAGATGTATATCTGATGAAAAACTCGTAAGTTGTTAGTGGTTCGATTTGAGCTTGGCTTATTTGAATTTTTAAAGGGGCAATTATGTATCTGTCACTGGAACAAATTAGTCTTTTTATTTAGCATTAAAAATTTTAAACTTCTTTATTTGACGTGGAGTTAAAATTTTCTTCTATAAATGACACTACCGTCTATTTAAAGCACGAGAGAATTATGTATTTGGCAACAAAACAAATCGGTCTTTTATATTTGGCGCTAGAAAATTTGAACTTCCTTATCTAGCATCGAGTTGAAATTTTCTTTCGTAAATGGCACTACCGTCAATTTAGACCAGTAACGGTGTCAAGTGGATAGCAAAATGACATAAATGCCCTTGGTTGTAGCAAAATTCCATGGTGCTAAATAGGAAAAAAAAATAGACATGTTGTCAAATAAAAAATCATAAATATACTTTGAACTAAAATGTGGATTTTTGATAATTGAAGACTACAATTAAATAATTAATAAATTTCAAATTGGTAATAGCAGGTATAGATTATGCCCTCACTCTTCCTTTCATCTCGGCCACAGATCAAGGATGCATGGCGAGCCGCCGCCGCCGCGGCCACATGGCCATGCGGGCAAGGAGCACGTTGGTCTGGGAGCTCCGACGTCATGCCGCTTGACATCATGTGGCGGCAAGAGAAGAAGACGTCGACCGCGCGCGTCCTCCCACGCCGCCCGCCACGAAGCTGCTGCTGCTGCTTGAGAGGCCACGTTTTGCAGAACCATGCCGCTTCGCCCCACGCCCGGAGCCACATGATCGGTGTCGCGTCGAGCTCCAGCGCCATCGCGTCATCTCTGGACAGAGAAGCTACTCGATGACGTCCTCCTCCTCGCCGAGACGCATGCTACGCATGAATGGCCGTAGCGGAGCTCGCCCCGTCGCGTCCCCCGCGTCGCGGCCTAGCACTAGCGTCGGCGGGCGAGACCGCCTCGCCGCGCCCCGCTGCTGCTGCGAACTGGGGCCAGCGTTGGCGGGCGAGGGACTCCCAGCGTGTCCCCCGCGCCTCGATCTGCCGAGTCCGGCGCGAGCTCCGCCATGCGTCGGGGCACACAAGGCACGACGACGAGCACACAGGACACGACATTGGGGCACACAGGGCACGACATTGGGGCACACAGAGCACGCATGAGGGGCGCCCATGCCGCTGCCGCCCATACCGCCACGCCTGTGCTTGTGTGATGTGCGCTGCAGGAAGGACGCGCCCCTTCGGACCGCTGCCGGTCGCCACCGTTGACGAGCACGCAGGAGCCGCGGGCGCGGACCCGCTCGGCCAGACGCGGCCACGAGGAGGTGTGGTGCCATGTGCGGCCACAAGGGAGCACCGGTGCCTTCGCGGCGAGGCCAGACACGGCCAGGAGGGAGCACCGGCGCTGCGCGGCAAGGTCTCGACGATGGTGGCACCGGCGTCGACCACAGGGCCAGCAATCGAGGCGGTTCTACCTCCCACCGAGCAGTAGAGCATGGACTACTCCATGGCCAACATCACTCACTAGCTAGCACCCGTGGAACAACGTGCTGGAAGTGGCGCTTCGGCGAGAAACACGCCATCGCTCCGGTTGTCAAGCACGAGGCACTCACTAGTAGCACCTCTGCGTGCCCTCATGCGCGTGCTCTGCGCTGCGTGCCCCTGTGTGCCCCGATGTCGTGTCTTGTGTGCTCGTCGCCGTGCCTTGTGTGCCCCTGACGCATGGCAGAGCTCGCGCCGGACTCGGTAGATTGAGGCGCGGGGGATGCATTGGGAGTCCCTCGCCCGCCAACGCTGGCCCAGCCGCGCAGCATGGCTGGGCGCGGGCGGGCGGTCTCGCCGCCGACGCTTAGTGCCAAAGCCGCGACGCTGGGACGCGACGGGGCGAGCTCCGCTACAGCCGTTCATGCGCAGCATGCGTCTCGGCAAGGAGGAGGACGTCGTCGAGCAGCTTCTCTGTCTAGAGATGACGCGATGGCGCTGGAGCTCGACGCGACGTCGATCATGTGGCTCCGAGCGTGGGACGAATGGCGGTTGTCTTGCGCGAAAACATGGGCTCTCTCTCGCGCGCAGCAGCAGTTAGCTCGTGGCCTCGGGAGGCGCGGCGGAGGACGCGACCGGCGTCTTCTTCTTCTTGCCGCCCGCATGATTGTGGCGCGGCATGACGCGTCGGAGCTCGCAGACCAACGTCTTTGCTGCAGGTTCGCATGATATGTGTGGCCCTGGCGGTGGCGGCTCGCCATGCATCATTGATCTGTGGCGAGATGAAAGGAAGAGTGGGAGGCATAATCTGTACCTTCTATTATCAATTTGAAATTTATTAATTATTTATTTGCAGTCTTCAATTATCAAAAATCCACATTTTAGTGCAAAGTATATTTATGATTTTCTTATTTGACAACCTGTCTATTTATTTTTTTCCCTATTTAGCATCATGGACTTTTGCTACAATCAAGGGCATTTATGTTATTTTGCTATCCACTTGACACCGTTACTGGTCTAAATTGACGACAGTGCCATTTACGAAAGAAAATTTCAACTCGATGCTAGAAAAGGAAGTTCAAATTTTCTAGTGCCAAATATGAAAGACCGATTTGTTTTAGTGCCAAATACATAATTCTCTCATTTTTAAATAAGTTGAACCAGCACTTTACCTCGGTTAATTAACATGCTAGTTCGATCCAGCTCGCAAGCCAAAACGGGTCAAGGTAAATTAGATGACAGCAACTTGAATCAGCCATATATATCATGATCCATTGGTCCAATATGATAAAACACAAGCCCTCAACTCTCATGCTCCCACCCCTAGGTCCGAGATTTTTCCGATCCGTCGTTCCGCGCAAGCCTAGCCTCAAACGCATGCACGCTCAGATGTTCCCCTGCTAAGCCGCCGCACGCAGCACATGCATAAGTTGCCTGGCGCCTATTGCGGGCTAGGTGTGATAGAACCTCCTAAATTATAGGGTCCACATGCATCTGTCACGGTCCAACGACCTTTGACATCTATGCATATATTCCCGGTAACTTAAGAAGGCTGTCGGGTGTCCTCGTGGAACCCAGAATCATCCACGATTTTTTAGCAGGATCCCATTACAGAGTCATTGCATTATACAACAATTTATTTAAATATATACATCAGAATAAAGATTAGCGGAAGACTTACAATAACATAGTTTACAAACAATTTATTTCAAACCATACAACTAAGTTCGGTTAATAATATAAAACGTAGTAGTGGAGTGGCATTATAACATATTACAGAACACACAAATAAGTTGCCCTAACCCAAGGGCCACACATTTACTTATCGTCATCACACTGAACAACAGTCATGCAGCACGATCCAAAACAGATCTGCTCATGAGCCTCACCTGCAACAAGGGTTAACGAACCCTGAGTACAAAAGTACTTAACAAGACTTAACCGAAAATATAAACTAATAGAACTTATGAATACAGGCTCAGGGATTTTAGGTATGGCTTTAGCAATAATCAAAGTTCTTTTGCGTAAAAGCTCTTTAATAAAATTCTGCATTTCAACATTTAAAACTTCATAAGATCATATACAAAGCTGACACGATCCGCATTGAGATCATTAAACTTCATATCCAACACTTTCTCAAACCAGCCTCAAGTTCTAGTTATTAATACTACGATGATGAACAGTGAGTTGAGTCTCCATAACCGAGGAGCAACGACGATTCGAACCGATTAAAACCCAGCTGGAGATTCCAAACCACATGACATATGTAGGTCCCCGACTTATATATATCAACCTACCCTCGGATCCTCTAAAACAAGAACGGGTTCGCGCCATCCGAGAATACAGTACTCCACCAATCCAGCCCATTGCCACATGGGTACACGCTATTCCCGCCATCTCTCCACTCCCTAGTGCGCGAATAGCCATTCTCGTAATAGAATATCCAAGTTAAGGCTTACCGGAGTATGTGGTTAGTACTACAAAGTCTCACCTCATGCAATTCAACAACGGTACGGGCCTTAATCGACACAGGCGGAAAGAACCCGCTCACAAGACCTCCATGTCTCGCGGCTCCCCTACACCGAGTCTGCCCGGTCTAGATTTATTACTCCTCATGCTCATATTTCATGATAACATAAATAACCAAGTGTAACCAAAGATCCATTTAAAATTCGCAGGTGGCAGGTAATCATCCCGACTTTTATTTGTCTAAACATGACTAAGCATAACTAGCCATATACGAATTAAAACGGTTAACAAGGTAGATATGGAAAAACAAGGTTGGTAATGCATCAATTAGGTTTTCACTTGACCCCTAATCACTTAATGTAGTAAAGAAGCAAAAGTGAAATCAAGTTATAAAACACAAGGTAGGTTTAAATGCATCCGGGGCTTGTCTTCGTTGATGGAAAAGTCCGGTTTTAGAGTCGCACCACAAATATCCAACCCGACCTCAACAGACGGATTAACCTCCTCAACCACTTGATTAACTACCACGTGCTCACCTTCGTTCACTACACGTAGTAACAATGCCATGTTTAACATGATGCGAGATACAAAATATGATGCTCGATGATGGATACAAAAGTTAACAACTTGAATACAACTTTCCTTCGCGGTACAGTTACAAGTCAAACCAACTAAACCTTTTTTTGTAACACCTAATTCAATTGTCAAGGATCATCACCCAATCCAAAATTCAATCAAAACCTAAATCATTAAAGGTTACTATTTGCTTTTATGAATTAATTAT